GGGAAGGGGCTCCGCAGTGCTCCTGCTGTCCACCAGGGGGCGTCTGAGGGGCCCCGTTAGAGAGGGGCTGGGAAGAGGGAAGGGGACACACACCGTGGCCTGGCCCAAGCCCCAGGCCTCAGTTTCCCGCTGACTACATGAGGGCCCGCGCAGACACGCCTGAGCCCTCCACACTCAGAACTCTATTCTAGCGCCCAGGCACACGTGTGGCCCAGGCCTGAGGCCACGTGGCTCCACGGGACCTCCTTCCCTCTGTGTGGTCTCTCCACCCCCCTACCCTGCCCCAATGGTGTTCACAGTAAAGAACAAAACCCCCAAGCGGAGCCCCTGACCGCAGAGGGGCTTCTTGCCCCTCGCCACTTTCCTCTCTCCGGCCGCTGGCTCAGAACCCCCACCTCCCCCAGGCAGAGGCTGCCAGAACTTCACCCGAGCGGCCCCGCTTCCTAAATCCCTCCAGGACAAGGAGCTGATGCAGCCTCAGCCTGGGGTCTCTGGGAGGCAACCCCACGTGCCTCCTATGCCTTCTTCCACCGGCGTCTCCACGGGACCCGGGACCAGGAAACGTGGAGGACTAGGTGTCTGCGAAGTTGAGCCGCCTACCAGGCCGCACGGAGGTGGTGGAAGCCAGTGGTGACACCCCACTGGAGCCCTGCTGGCTTGCCCGCCCGCACAGCCAGGGCCTGAGCACCTGCTGCGGCCAACACAGGCCTCGTCTCCCGCCGCTTCCTGTCGGCCCCCAGCTCCGCCCCTGCCATGAGCCGCAGACAGAGGCACTCACCACCAGGATGCCGGCGAAGGCCCGCATGTTCCTGACCAGGTCGAGGAGCGTGTTAGCCACCACGGCCATCATCTGAGGACGGGAGAGCACCTTACTTCTCCTGGCCCTGCCCAGGGACCCTAACCCAGAGAGCCAGGGCAGGGGGGCTGCGGGACCTCGTGGGTCGCCATCAACCCCACACACCTGTACACACATCCACACACCCGTATACACCACACACCTGTATACACATCCACACACCTGTATACACCACACACACCTGTATACACATCCACACACCCATATACACTACACACACCTGTATACACATCCACATACCCATATATACCACACACACCTGTATACACATCCACACACCCATATACACATGTACATACCTGTATACACATTCACACACCCATATACACCACACAGCTGTATACACATCCACACACCCATATACCTGTATACATATCCACACCCACATACACCACATCTGTATACACATCCACACACCCATATACACCACACACATCTGTATACACATCCACACACCTGTATACACCACACACACACCTGTATATACATCACACATTCACATACATAACACACCTGTATAAACATCCGCACACCCATATACACATGTACATACCTGTATACACATCCACATACTTGTATACACCACACACCTGTGTACACATCCACATTCATATACACCATCCACACCTGTACATATATCCACACACCTGTACACACATCCACATACTTGTATATACCACATCTGTATACACATCCACATGTATACACGCCACACACCTGTATGCACAGCCACACACCTGCACAAACATCCATATACACCTGCACACACCTGTACAAACATCTACACTTCTATACACTATACACTTATATACACATCCACATACCCATACACCTCTATACACATCACCTACACCTGTATACACACCACACACTCATATACGTACACACATGTATACACATCCACACACGTATATACCACACACACCTGTATACAAATCCACACAAACCTGTATACACCCCATGCACCCATATACACCACACACACCTGTATACACATCCACACAACCCTGTATATAGCCCCATGCACCCGTATACTCTGCACATACCTGAATACACCACACATCCGTATATGCCACACACACCTGTACACACATCCACACACCCATATACACCACACCTGTACACACACACCTGTACACACACCCACTCATACATCTGTACACACCTGCATACACATCCACACACACCCATATACACCACACACACCTGTATGCACACACCTGTATACACACACGTGCACACATCCACATGCTTGTATACATATACATCCATACACACACACACACACAC